AATTTCTGGGTTGTCATCGTATAATTTCTGAGTTGCCATCATATAATTTCTGGATTCTCATCTTATAATTTTGGGTTCTCATCTTATGATTTCTGCATTGCCATCGTATAATTTCTGGGTTGCCATCTTATAATTTCTGGGTTCTCGTCTTATAATTTCTAGGTTGTCATAATTTCTGGGTTCTCGTCTTATAATTTCTGGGTTGTCATCGTATAATTTCTGAGTTGCCATCATATAATTTCTGGATTCTCATCTTATAATTTTAAGAATGGTTTCTGGTTCTTCATCTCCGGAGGAGATATCTCTAGACACAGACAGGACAATGAGAACGATCAACCTCTCGTAGTTTTAAACGATTCAGTTTTTAAAAAAATCCCTGAAGTTTACGCTGATCAACAAAAACCTGAAGAAAAGAGCACAATAACCGAAACGTTGTGATAATAATAACAAAGATTCACATAAAAGATTAACAAAGATCTATATAAATATAAATAATATAAATAATGGTAATTCCTCATCTCAACAACTCAAGCAGAAATCGACCTTTGTTTTAAAATTGTTTTGCAGATATAAGAATAATGGCCTATATTTATTTAATTCTCAGTTTTGACGATCTTGATAGACAAAATATGGAAACCTTTTCATTTGTATTGATAAGACACCCTACCGAGGTCCTATGTTAACAAGGACAGTGAATAATAGAAACATTTCCGTTCCGCTCAAGTTAAGAATAATGACCAATAATATCTATCTTTATGGCCCGGAACTATTTAGATAGGAATCTTCGCTGTTGTATACTTTGTATTTGATAGGATCCAAGTGGAGCCCTCGAGACTCGTGGGCAGTAAACTGTAGCAATTGTTGGACGTTTCAGCGAATATATATATATATATATATATATATATATAGTCAATCAATATGGTATATGAAACCGATTTCATAGAATAAATGAACAATAAACAGTAACAATAGTGATCAAATAACAGCAATAAGAGAATCACTCCAGGGAACGATGCATTTGCTTAGCTCAATGGTTAACGTATTGAACTGAGGATAGAGAAATAGTTTTTCTTTCTTTTTCATCTTCATGTAAAGAGTCGGTGACATCAGTCATATTGTTTTGTTAATAGATGCTTACATAGGCAAAAATAGAAAAAAAATCGCAGTTCCACAAAAATCATTTTGCTGATTTAATCGTTATTACAACAATGATTGCAATAATATTATGTTGAGAACAACGATCTTAATAGATATTGCATATAAAATGGTCAAATTATTTGAGTCACGCTTGTAATCACTCCTGAGTACAGATATATATTTGGTTCTGATTTTTATTCACAATACATTCCTATAGCAAAATCATTAACAATACATTCGTATTATAGCCCTATTCTATCAGTAATGCCTGTCTTAATTCTTGACCATTGGCTGTTCCTTTCGTCCTGATTTTCAATATATTTCTATAGAAAAACATTTACAATACGTTACCATTATAAAACATATATAGATATATTATATATTTAGATATAACAAACAAACACTATCAGTCATGATTGATATCTTTTCACCCTGAGTTTAAATATATTTTTACAGTACTATCATATTCATGGCTTTTCCATAGGAAAATCCTCACCAATATATTCACATTACACATCATGGCCATATTCTGCCAATAATGCTTGAATGAATTTCTAAATACTGACAATCCCTTTTTTCCAATGTATTTCTGTAGTAAAATAATTTAAAATACATTGTTATATTAAGACCATAAGTAATGCATCCATACGGTACATATTATAGCTCTATTTTGCCACTAACGCTTGCATTAATTCCTGACCCCGAACAATAGCTTTCTTCCTTGTTTCGAAGACAATGTATAAATCATTTCGCCCTAAGTATGATGTTGATAGACTTTAATTGAAAAGAAACAAGAGAGAAAGAAAACTTATCAACATTGGGGATTGTATGGACACTGCAAGACATTTCAGTAATAAGCAAATGATGAACAAGGCAAGATTAATTATGATAGCCAGCAGTTGCAGGAAATATAATAAAAAAGAAGCATTTCGCGTTAAGATAAATTTCAAAATTACAAGGCAAACATCGCAATAAAAACAACATCACAGAGGCTTCAAGAAACAAAGAAAAGCAATCGCAAATATGCTCATAGTCTGATGATTGCGTTTAGCCTGAAATAGGCTGTCGCCTCTAGGTGCTGACATCAAGGCCCACTTTTAAATTTACATATGCTCTATCCCAGATATTAAGAACTTTAACCCATAAATATAGCATACCTGAAAATTTTTACTGCTGCCATATATGGTCTGGTGCCCCCGCTGTTCGCGTTAAGGTCTTCGACAAGATCCAAAGACGGATAAGGAATGTGGTTGGTCCTAATCTGGCATCTCGTCTACAGTCGCTCTCTCACAGTGTCACCTCCCTCTGTCTTTTCTACAATTACTTTCATGGTAACTGCTCCGACAAGCTACTTTCGCTAGTTGCCAGACTGTATGAATTTAAACATGCTACTAAGCTGGTATCTCGGTCCCACCCTTTCACTGTCAAAACAGTTAAATGTGGTCGTCTCTTCTACTCCAATAGTTTCATGTCTTGCACCTCCTGTTTGTGGAATTCCCTTCCTATTACATGTTTCCCTGATAGCTATAATCTCCAACTATTCAAAAGCAATGTCAATCGACGTCTCCAGATGCCTTGATCTATTCTCTGTCATTCTCTTCATCCTTTCCTCTATCATGCCTATTTACTCTTGCTCCCACTCTCTGTAACCCTTTGCGTAACAGTGGCATCCCGCCTTGCTTGGGGTGAAATGCTTAAATATATATATATATATGTGTGTGTGTGTGTGTGTGTGGTCTTAAAAATGATGGAGCGCATTCTTTTAAAATAGACCTTTTTCGCCCAACAACCACGACTAAAATAAATGTATTACTAAAAACAACAAATTAGTATAAATAAGCTTCCAGTGAGTTATTTACCTCTCGTGGTCCCCTGTTTCCTATTACTCCCCTGATTTTTAAAATCATATATAAATTCTATGCTATAATATATATATATATATATATATATATATATATATATATACTACTCGAATTACCCGCGCCTTGCTGCGTGTCACGCATACTTTTTTGTAAGAAAATGATGATTGATTTTAATGTGTGGAGAAAAATGATACATTTCAATCTTATTCAATGATCTCGCCGATGTCAACTCCATCTTCTGGCTTTCTTGTAACTATATTTTGGATATGAGTCATTTCCCTTGTTCAAATTTTAATTTAATTTAAATCAAAGGGGGGGGGAAATTTCGTGATGGGGATGCAAAAAGACCCTTGATCTGACCCTTTTGATATGTATTAGATGCAATACTGAATATTAAATTAATTGATGAGCAAATTTCAACATTGATATAACAGGAGAATTGTCACAACAAATATTTATTGTAAGGGACTACCCACTGGTTGGTAATTTCTTTATGTCCATATTGTCTCATTTTGATCCTGCCGATGTGATCTCCATCTTCAGGCTTTCTCCTTCTATATTTTGGATAGGAGACATTCCTTGTTCAAATTTAATTTAATCAAAGGGAAAAATGCATTGTACCCAAATTGACACCTAAGCACACTGAAAGGTTCGTATTGGAGTTTCCAGCGGGAATGCCAAGCCGTACAGGATGCGGTTTCCAATTTTTTTCACAGACAGTATTTAACTGACCCTAATATACTGTGCAGTCGACAGAATCAAAACAAACAACGCGAATGCGCGAAATTTATAAAATGGCGACAATTTACCCATCGCACACTGTGTGTGTGTGTGTATATATATATATATATATATATATATATATATATATATATATATTCTTAAAACTTCTATGATATGATAAATTTGAATGAAAAAAGAACCAAGGAAAAGTTATGGAACTGAAGGGAAGTTATAGAACAAAAATTGTTTATTACAGAAAAAACTTGTACCATCCAAAATTAGTGAACAAAATTATAAATACACCTAACAAAACAATTAAAATAAAACAATTTCTAATTCTGTAAATTCAATTGTGATAAAATTGCAAGAAACTTTAAAAAATCTTGTTCTACGTTATCACAAATTTGAATAAAATCATCCTAGGATAAAAAAAAGTTATAGAAGAAAAAATGCTTATTAAAAAAGCAAACGGAAAAAAAACAGTATGGAGTCTAAAATTAGAAAAAATGTTTTTAAACAAACATGTAAATTAAATTAACATCATTATTGACCTAATATATATATATTTTTTTATTTAATAACATTTCTGTCTGGTTCTTTTTGTGCAAATCCAACACGTTTTTAAGAATATTTACAGCCATTTTTATCACCATCAAATCTGTAGAATTGCAAATATGTGATTTTAAAATGTTTAATTTATTATTGGACACTACTGTATCGTAAATGTAACCGATGTGGAGATTGAGGTGAAATACAATGGTATATTAATTAAACGAATACAACAAAGTAACTTAAGAGGACTACAAAAATAGAGATGGATGGGTGGGAAAGATAATCCACTGGGAATTGTGCAAGCAACTAGGATTTGACCATACCAAGAAGGGACAACGGAAAATAGATAACATCTTGGGGAGATTAGTACATCCTTATTGAAATCGGATATCATTTCATTATTTTTTAAATGCTAGATGTCTTCAGTATGGAAGCGACAATGGTTCAGTTTACTTTCTTTAACATCTATGAATTGTCATGCCTACTTAGATAGTACCGTGTTTACCAGTTTCTTTCTCCACAGTTTTGAATTCAAAGTTATTGTTCTCCAAGACTAGTTGCCACTCAGGACACTTTACTCTGCTATTTAAAGCAAATCTGGAAGAAATGAAATTGCAATTCATCATGGAGATTGAACCCACGACCCTGAGATTAAGAACCATATGCGCTACCGAGTCACCCAGGCTTACCTATATATAACAAAAACATTCGTACACACATCAATGTTTAAGAAAATAAAAAAAATGTTGAAGCCATGGTTCCAACACTTACCTGACCTGTGCCATCGACTACTTGTCCACAGTGTTGATTTATCCACTGATGTCCAAGTTTGTTTATATCCGTTATTGAACCTTTAAGCTGGTTGCAAGACATGTCACTCGAGTGAGGTTCAATTCGGCTTCCTGCTAGTTGAGGGCTTCGAGTCAATCCGGTATCTGTCGTTAGAGCGACAGGAATGCTACCCCTCGTGGTCAAGTGCTGCTTTTCAGCTACACACTTCCCTGCTAGATGACCGCCACGAGCTCCCAACACGTTTCTTTGGTCGGTGCAACGGAGAATACACAGTGTTATAAAAATCACTGATGACACCGAAATTGTGACTGCTACCATCACGATTATAATGGTCAGGTTGAGATCGATCATGTCATCGGCATTCATATGTATGTGGTTAACTACCTCAAAAGACTGATTGCTGACGGTCAGGGTCAGAAACAACGTAGTCGTCGCCGACATGACCGGCGTGCCACTGTCCTTGACCATAAACTCCAGTTCGTACGAGCCGGCGTCGTGTTGGCTGACTACTCGGCTAAAAGTGAGTAATCCTGTATATCGGTTGATCATGAATAACTGTTTCTCGTTGCCTGATATGAGCTCGTATTTGAGAAAGGCGTTTTCACGGCTATCCCTGTCGGAGGCTTTCACTAGAGTGATGTTGTTGTTGTGATGGGGGTAATAGACAATATCCATCGAGAAAGGGTTGACGCTGGGGAAGGTAAAATAGGGGGCGTTGTCGTTCTTATCTCGCACATCGATCGTCACGTTGACTGTGTTATTCAGGGGAGGTATACCGTTATCTTTGACAAAAACTTGGAACTTATAAAAGTCCTGAAATTCGTGGTCAAGCGATTCGGACGTTAAGATCAATCCTTCATCCGATATCACAAAAGGTAAGATCTGTTTGCCGTGGGAGAGTAACGAATAGCTGAGTTTACCTCTGGGTCCCAGATCTGGGTCGGTGGCATGAATGGAACCGATCGGGAATTCGGATTCTTGGTTTTCGTGAACGACAAAGTGAAATGCTTCACGGGAAAACTGAGGCTGTACATCGTTAACATCTACGACTTGGATAGAAAATTTGCTTTCACTGTGTAAAGGAGGAGAACCCTTATCTTGGCAGATTATTGTAACCTCGTAATGATCTTCGGATTCCCTGTTTACTGAATTCTTTACGCTTATTTTATACTTCTTGATTCCTAAGTTTTGTAACTGAAACTTTTCATGGTGTAGTATGCAGTTTACTTCGCCATTTTGTCCGGCATCGTGATCAGTGACCTTCATGAAAGCAATAAAACTACCAACTTTAATATCTTCGGATATTGTAACTGTGTTCCCTGAAGAGGCTGAGATGAAGTTAACATCAATGGTCGGTGCATTGTTCTGCTGGTTGATTACATTGACAAGAACCATAGCAATGGAACTGAGCGGAGGGTTGCCCCCGTCTGTTGCTTCTACGTACAACTTATAAGTCATCTTCTGGCCAGCTGCAAACTTTTTCTGCAGGTAAATTTCTCCGGTTTCTCTGTTTATTTGAAAATGATTCTTGGCCACGCTGGACGTGTCACGGCTAAAGTGATACATGACCTTTCCGTTCTTTCCGGAATCCAAATCCGCGGCGGATAATATGAGCATTGGAGCCGATCCGTAATTCTCATTCTTGACAGAAACATTGAACATATTCTGACTGAAAGTTGGGGAATTATCATTTTCGTCTTTAACGATGATATGTACATCCAAAATGCTCTGTTTCGGCGGCGAACCTCGATCCTCGGCAATAACTTGGATAATATAAGAATCCTTGACTTCTCTGTCAAGTCTCTCTTCAAGACGAATGGCTAGTTTTGATTTTCCGTTGACCCTGTTAGAAATGGACAGTGTGAACGGCTCATAGGTATTTTCATTTAACTGATAGTTGATCTGTGAATTGAGCGCGCCGACGTCCTTATCAATGGCGTTGGGGATCGAGATCTTTGTGCCCTTGCCGTCTCGTTCTGAAAAGTGAATCGTGACTTTCTTGTCTGGGAATTCGGGCGGATGGTCATTGACATCTCGAATAATGACTTTGATTTCCAGTATCTTGATGAAAGACGTCGCCTTCTTCACAGCCACATCGACGGTTTTGAAACACTCCTCATTGTATTCGCACATCGTATCGGCATCTAGTGTCCGGGTGGTGTACAGTTTTCCGGTTTTCTTGGACACACGGAAAAGCTGGTCGCTGTTGAGTTTTCCGTGTTGAAGTTGACTGAAGGTGATGAGCGAGTGATCGTTGGGAGAGACACTGTCTTTGACATGGGAGTCATCAGCAATGTCTCCTACTAGGGTACCCGGATTCATTCCCTCATCAACGTAGTATGTCAGGTCTACACCCAGACACAGGTCCAAGGTAAACAATAGCAGACACGCGGACAGCGACATGTCGTATTGGCGGCGAAAATGAAGCCGGAACAAATCACTGAAATATCTGGACGTCTGAAAAGATAAAACAGTAATACAAAATTAAAAAGAATGGTCATGCAATAAAAATGTAGTTTTATAAAACTATACTTATCATATCACCTAATATGATTACTTGCTATCAGAACACCCAGTAAGAATCTAACATTGCAATAGTAAAGAATATTCAGGTTCTTCGCTTTACCACGAGTAGTAATTTACACAGTAACATTAGTTCACATCATTTTCACAGGAGGTGGGGGGTTCAAGTGATTTTCTGGAGGGTCCAGCCGCCAAAGCCCCACCTTGGCAATGGGCTTGCTGAAAACTGATGCCCAACTTGCACTTATTCATATTTATCAGTTTTAACTTTGTGAGGCACTTGTCCTATCAATGGTGTCTAGAATACACTGGCTGTATACCCTGCAGAGGGGTAAGACATTTCAAAAGAGTCAGTTACCTAGTAATTGACTATAGACTCAAGTATAAACACAATAAATATGACCAATGACTACCTACAGGCTTAAGTATTAACTCAGTTAATGTTTTCCGATAGATTTAAGCATAAATTCAAACAATGTTTGCTTACGAACCCAATGTTTACTGATATGGATTCGAGTATAGTATAACAAAAAATAAAACAGATTTTGATATTAAATAACCCAACAAAGTTTGATATGTCATTATATTAACCAACCCAGCTCAATACAGATTCAAGTGGGAAGAGTATGGAATGTTGTTACTCTCGATTTCAAAGTAGGAAAGGCTTGTCTGGAGAATCAAATTCAAATTAAAAGAATTTGAATTTGATTCTCCAAGCAAGCCTTTCCTACTTTGAAATCGAGAGTAACAACATTCCATAACAACAATTTAAAGATCTGGGAAGTGTTTTAACAGAAGACAGAAAGTGCAACACTGAAATCTGAAGGTGCATTGAGATAGCAAAAGATGCCACCCAAAAGCTAAGTAAAGTATTAGGAAAGAGGAACATTTTGTCAGAAACAAAGAGAAAAGTTCTAAACATAATATCAGTCCTCTTCTCTGGCAGTGAATTCTGGAAAATTTCCTTGCAGATGAAGAAGAGACTCGAAGCAACAGAAATGTGTTCCTACAGAAGGATGCTGTGAATAACATGGACCAAACATGTGAGCAACGAGGAAGGAAAATGACACAAACTTAACAGCAGTTAAGTGCACTAAGGGCAATGTCTATTCTGCTTGGTCTCTTGTGAGGCACATCGTTAGAGCAAGTGAAACTGTAGATATGATCATTTCCCATGTTTGCAACATAGGTGCCACTGAGAGGTCATCTCAGGTCAGCCATGCAACTGGCTTCTTTGACGTCACACTGAGTGCAAAGTCTATGCTGCCTGATTTGAGGTAAGGCACATACTACATCTGATTCATAAAACAAGTAGATAAATGGAATGGAGAGTAAGTAGATATGAAAATGTAGTCATCACTTTGAACCCATCCACCAAAATTTAATTTTTCTACAGTCAGTGATTGCTGCACAGTCAATTAAAAAAAAAAAAACATTTATATGCAGTTAAAGTAAATAATAAACATTAAGAACACCATGCCACAAAGATTCTTATATATTAATACATCATCCATAAGTGTAGAGAGACAAAACCTATAATATGCAAAGTCAGTTAGTTATGTGGCATGCATGATACACGCTTAGGCGATCATGTATCTTTCGATACATGACTGACGAGGCAGATTTTTTTCTCACAGAAGGTTGCCATTTCTTTCTGCAGTAGACCAGTTGCCATCCAAAGCTATAGAACCCAGTCTGTCCTGATTTTACCTATAGCTGGAGGGAGAAGAAGAGAATTCATACCTTTCCCAAGGGTATTAGCACATAAGTGAATGTAATGGATTCGACTGGAATTTGAACTCGGCTCTCTGATTCCTCAATCCGAGCCACTATCCATAACTTCACGGTGCTTCCCCAATATGCAAAGACAGATGTGTACTTCATGAAAGACCATTACTTTCAACAAGCCCGGGTAAAAAGAAATAGAATGAGTTCTATATTATAAAATATATTTTCCAGACCAATTAAAGATTAAATTAGAGATTATGTTTAGATTGGAGTCAAAACTGACAAATGTTTAGAAAAAGGAAAAACACTTTAAAATATTAGCTACAAATTATTTATCCAAATAAGAATAAATAAGATATTTACTACAAACGTTTTAACAGAATATGGAAAAATGCCTTCCAAAGACTAAAAAAAATATTCAGGAACAGGAAAATTTCATAAGAAACAAAGAAAAATGTACTGAACTCTTATGTAATATCAATTATTCAATATGTCAGTGACAATCACCTGACAAATGAAGAGATTTAAAGTAGTAGAAATATGGTCTTACAGAAGAATACCGAGAAATCCTTCAACTGAATATGTGTGTAACAAATAAGTTTTAAGGAAAGCAGAAACGAAAAAAATGCTTATATTTAGAATCAGAAAGAAGCAGTTGAAATTTCTTGGACACATAAAAGAGGAAAGAAGGATTAGAAAATTTGAAACTCACAGGATAAATTGAAAGCAAAAGTGACAGAGGAAAGCAGCGAATAAAAAGCATAATGATTTATGTAAATGGATGAGTAGCAGGGGTGGTGCAAAGAGAAAACTTACTAAGAGCTACAAGGGATAGAAAGTTGTGGAGAGCCATGATCACCCAGATCCTGATAGGGCACAGCACATACAAGAAAACATGTTTCATTACTAACTAAAAGGCTCTATATAAGAATTTCTGTTTGTGTAGACTCAGGTTTTCTCTGATAGATTATCAAAACAGCACATGGCCATTTGTGCAATATTCAAAACAATAGGATATATTCCAGACAGGTTTTTTTTTAATAATATGACAAATTCATTCCAAATGACTGGCTAATTTAGCTTAAACAATCTTTTTTTTTTTGTAATCTTGTCAAACATAAGCCATAAAATTGCTTTTAAAAAGATTCCATTGCCTGTACATCACTATCAGATTTTATCACCAGTTGATTAAATGGGGTGAAAATAATGGTTTTCTACTAACATGCCTCATTTTATTACGCATATATATATATATATATATATATATATATATATATATATATCACTGATATGAAGTGTTCATTAGTTTCACTTATATCAAGCAGACGTTTCATGCACACAGATTTCTCAGTTAAATTCCAAAATGCAGTGGCCTGATTCCTTGTTTTTGTTACCAATTTGTATCTTCTGCTTCTGTGTGACATGTCTCTTCAGGACGTGGACAATCATAACTCTCTAAAAATTATTATCCTTTGTGAATGTGTCAGTCACACAATGCACAAGCTTATTCATTGGTGGCCACTGCTGACTGAGTAAGCTTGTGGGAGTGTATCTGTTAATATATGAGCAGTAAAGTTCCCTCTAATTCATTGCTGAGTTACATCAAGGCCACACAACTGGTTATCAATATATATATATATATATATATACATATATATATTTATATATTTATTTTATAAATTTACTAATTTAAAAATATGGTTCTGTCGCTACACAAGAATTACCATGTTTCAAAAACAAAAACTAAAAACTAAAGACGAAATTCGCTTGAAAATGAAACAGGACTAGGGACTCTAATTTAATTCTATAATTGAATTTGAAGTTTTTAGTTTCTGTTTTTGAAACATGGTAATTTCTGTGTAGCAATGGAACCATATTTTTAAATTAGTAAATTTAAAATATTTATTCTCTGTAGATTTGCATTGAGCACTGTTTTGTAAAAATAAAAATAATTAATAAGAACACTGGATTATATATCTTACTGTTCTTTCTCTTTATTATAATATATATATATATATATACAAGTTTCATTAAAAAATAAGTTTAAAAAACATGGCTCAATTAGATCTCATTTAAAAAAAGACCTTAGTGAATAGTGGACGATTTCACAGATGAAGAAGAACCTTAAGTGACTGAGATGTCATTCTACTGTCTTATACTAAGAATACCATAGACTGAACATGCAAGAAACAAAGAAGTCTTAAGTAAAATAGAAACTAAAAGGACACTTATATTTAAAATCAGAAAGTGGCAGTTGAAATTTCAGGGACATGTTATGCGGAAAGAGGGCATAGAGAACTTAAATCTCACAAGACATATTGAATGCTAGAGGAGCAGAGGAAAACTGTATTTAATGAGTGAACAAACAACAAAAGAGGGATGGCAACTGGTCAAAAATTAAGTGACAGCCAATCTCTTCAGATCCTCAACAGTTTTCTCAGTATTCTTGCAGACTCTATTTCTACAAATTTTCGATTCATCCATTCTTTTCAGAATCTTTGAGACAACAAATTATCATTTTTATATGCTTTATTGTTCATCTTTGTTGTGATACAATGTTTTGACCATTGTACCCTCTAAACATCTTCTGGTTTCTACTTCAGGCAACAAAAATGTGTTTCTACAGAAGGATTCTGAGAATGCCATGGACTGAACATGTGAACAATGACAAAGTTTAAGAGAAAATGGAAGCAAAAAGGATATGTATGATTACCATCAGAAAGAGATAGTTGAAATTTATAGGACTCCAAACTACCACCAATCATGATAAATGGATGCCCCCTCAGATAGGCTCCATGCCTTTAAGAGATTGTTGGGACTTAAACTCATCCCTGACCTGAAGTGGAACTCATACATATGATCCATCACTAAAGATACAGGAAGAATTATCAGTTGCCTGTACTATTCTAATAAGTACCTGACTCCATGTGCTATCCTCTACCTTTACAAGAGCCAGATCAAGCCTAATATGGAGTACTGTTGTCATATCTTGGCGGGAGCTGCCCAGTCCTCACTTTCCAGTCTTGATGGAGTCTAAAGGTATCTCAGAGTCCTTGGTGACAAATTATTTTCTAACCTTCAACCTCTCTCTAACAGGTGGGACATGGCAAGCTTCTCACTGCTCTTTTGCTACTTCCATGAAAAGTGCTTGG